AGCTCTGAGTCTAAATGTACACTGATGTTAGTCTGAGAGCACTTCTTGTTGGAATCATTATATCAGTTGACACAGTTTAACCTTGCTGCTGTTCACCAATACCCATGACCCTTAAACCAGACCTGATGACCCAGTCATCATGTCACAACCCGAATGTGTTTCTCAAATCTGGGCTTGCTATCAATCTGTGGCTTCGTGTTCCAACTACTGTAGGTCCCTCACTCTGGAAATTCTGGGTCAGCTTTCCCACTAACATTAAACCATATGATTGAAAAAAAAATGGCAGTCCACAATAAAGCCCTACAAATGATTCTGGAGTCAAAAGTCACGGCTGATCACACAGCCAAGGTCTGAAAAATGGACAAGGTGTGCCATTCATGGTTGACCAAACGTCAGTAACATGACAGGACCACTGAAAACAATTCATACATGAATACTTGCTTAGCAAACCTGGGTTAGAAGCCAAAAACATCATGTCATTAAAACAAGTGACTGGTTTTTGCTTAACACATACATGTACTGTGTAACTGATCCTTGAGATGAAACCTTGAAGACTACTGTTGGACTGACAATGCATATTTACAAAACTGATGTCATGTAGGAGTACATGTGCTCAGCTCCAAACAATGCAAACAAATTGAGATCTTGGCGTAATGGAGCATGCAATGCTTCAGACAAGCCCTATGAAGTTTCCATCAAATCAGAAAAGTGCAGAGTCTAAAAATGTGGCGCTACACTCCTAAGTGCTCACTATCCAAAAATCAACAAACATGAGCTTTGCAGGATCTCTCGGAGGTTTTCTTTTTTATTTTAGTGTCCGATCTCCTTTCCTCACTGACAGTGCAGGATATGCAAGATGTATGTATTACATGGAGGAAAATCTGAGTCAATGTGCAGAAAGGGGAGTTGTTTGCTCATCTTGACAATTACCAATGTCTCCACTTGTTATTGTACTCTGTACTGGTACATGTATTACCCCATCTGTCACCGTGTCTGACTCACCTCAGGGCCTGATATTGTCGTTCTGATGAGCCCTGCTTCTTTGGCCAACTGCTTCTTCTCCCTTTCAATTTTGGTGCTGCAAAGAGAAAAATGCCTCCAGACTTAAATACTGTAGGAAAGTTTGTACAAAATTTTCTTAATCCTACAAAATCCCGCACAGTGATTCATTCTTGTGTACTTCAAACTTGGGCATGTAAAATGCACTCAAGGCTGGTATGTACAGTCCTAAACCCATCAAGATCAAACAAATCCAATTACTTTGTTAGATTAGGCACAGTTTGGGTCAAAGTAGGGATATGGAACAAGTATACATGCACCTGTGCACTTGATTCAACAAACAGACTAAATGTACATACTGAAAGAGTCACAGAACAGGGGAGTTTCACAACAAAGTACAATTTCAATCAATTTTCAAGGTTGACAAGCCTGAAAATCACGTTGTAGAAATCTAATAGCTTTCCCAGTGGTTCACAAATGAAGCTCAAATAACAACTCCGCAAGCACAACATGCTCCTCTGTATATTATGCATACATGTACACATGTAACAACTCCGCAAGCACAGCGTGCTCCTCTGTATATTATACATACATGTACACATGTACATGTACTTGTACATGAAACCGGTTTAGATGTACGTGTATATTATTAACCACTTCTAGCTACATTTAAAACTTGTGATCTCTACACTACTGTATCTCAGTATTAATAATAATAATAATAATAAAGCATTTATAAGG